ACACTTGTGCCAACGTTTTTTCCAATCCTCGAAGCATTTCAAAAAATCATTTTTTGTGATCTTGTTCAGCTCTTCCTTCGATGCCGTCTTTATCTCCTCGATCGTAGCGTATATATATATATATATATATATAACCCGATCAATATCTTGGAAAAATCAATATCAGAATGTTTGGTATCCGGGAAAACCAGGGACACGTGAAATATTCAGAGCGATCTTTTGTCTATCGGGAGAAATCAGGCATCCTCGTCAAATTTTCAAATATCATTTACCTCAAATACCATTGCATATTATACTTAATAAAATTATAAAGTCTATATTTCTTCAAATATCTAATATATTATATACTTAATATGTCCTTTTTTCTCTTGATCCAGAATTAGGTATCGTATAATTCGTTATAGAGACGCGACATAATTTACCGATCCGTAATTAGGATTTATGCATTAACATCTCTAATTATTATTTTTTTATTTAGAATCAATTAACTTGAAATCACACATAATTCCGTTTAAAAACCATGTTGTTTATTATTAACATTGATATTCCTAGTTCCTCTTAATATCCGACCGTTGAATTTTTGCAAATAAGTGAAAGTTAATCTAACTTTAAATGATCCGTAATTAGAGGGTTACTTTACGTATCCGTGAAATATCGCATCGATTCCGAGAATATATCGATATAATTTCGCGATATTTTTTCTTCGTTCAATTTCCCATATCAAACAAATTGAAATTTCTCGTGTATTACGTTTCCACGTAATTCAAGGAATCATGCTCTGCCGTCTCCTAATTTTCACCTTTTTTCTCTCTCGTCGAACCCTCAAATCAATTATGAGAATTTAAATTATTAATCAGTTTAATTAAGTTCGTGCCCACTATGTCTTCTTCGCGCCGTATTGATCTTAATCTTGCTCGTCGTTTAAAACCCTCCCAATTAACCTTTATGGATGCCGTCGGCGCGACAAAAAGGGTTGATTGTAGAAGCACACGCAATAACGTATTTTTCGCTCCTTTTACGAGGAAAAGTTATAGAGGGCTTAACAAACGTTAACGAATTGCGAAGAGCTTTCCTCCGTGCATCCGGGGAATTCTTAATTTGCTGATATGCAAAAGATACAACGTTATAACGATGTAAATACATTGCCCTGAATTTGTTTAAAAGTGAAAGCGCAGTCGCCCGCTCCGTTGTGTTTCACGGGAAATTCACAGAACATGATATTCGCAAATCATGTCGCGTTACGAACAATAAAAATTATCGCGCGCAACCATGCGTCGCTGTTTGTGCCGAGGGAAATAACTAAAAACAATAATTAAATCGCGACGCCAAATTTGTCGGAATCGTGCCGAAATTACGAACATACGAAAGGACATATCGAAATAAATCAATCATTAAAGCCTCATCAGTACAGTAATTAATTGAGCATTGGATGTAATGTCAATCATTGTATTGCCATATAATGGTGGTATCAAAGGCACACATGAAATAATCGAAAGGCCACTGTACGTGCGTGTTTACCATGTGTCATACCTACGGTTTGAATTCGTTCGTGCTCCGGCTGAATAATTAATCGGAAACTGCTATGACTGAAGTTTCCATAATGCAACGTAACGCGACGTTTTAAGTCCTACGCCGGGTTGCGATATGCGAGTCGTTCCGAGACGGGATCGCGGACTTTGGGATATGTTAAGCCAGTAATTCCCGGCTGAATTATGTTTGAAACACTATATTGGACTTTATTGCCGCGACGCATTGCGAGTAATTTCTAGGCTGCCAACACTGCGGAAGATGTTAATTAATAGTCTTGTAGGACACGTTCATACATGTTATATTGTTGTAACTATTAATACCGGACGCATTTCTTTCAGAGATAACCATAAGGTGGAAGGAAATGTAGAAGATTTGTGTCCAAGTTTATTATACTGCTTGCATTCATCATCATAATCAGGAACTTGAATATAGATTTTCCTAACACGAATTAATTTTTTTAGAATATACTTTATTCCAGCTTCATTTGTGATAACCTGCGTTACTATTTTGATAAACGGGCAATCGCAATATCGCATTAAAAACGATCGAACATTGTAATTCACATCTTGTCTCAAATATCTGGAAGTGCGTTATGAGAATATACAGGATGTCCCAGATTCCTCGAATTTCTTTTCATCCAGGTGTTCTTTCCCTCGTATTTTGTTTATACTGTATCGCGTATCAAGCTACGCGAATATAAGAAACCAAGTCAACAAGTGGCGACTTGTTCTGTTTCAGAGAGCCTCGGCGAGGGTACAGGCGACGATGCTGGCGTTAAAGAACTTCAGGAACTTCGCGACAAATATGAGGGGAAGTTGACTGCGTCCCTCTACACGGGAACACTCTGTGTCGCCGCCGTCGCCTCGTTGATTGCTCTGGGTGCTTTGTGCTCCACGGACTATCGCGTGAGTACCACCGATGATCCTACATGACGTGTTACGAAATGACAGTCCGTACTCTTTCTCCCACCGAACAAGTATTGATTGTCGACTCAGCTGTCACGATGAGATCACAGCCGACGGAACTGCTATGCTGTTGCATAGAATTTCTATCTATTTGTTGAGAAGCGAAATTTCCGAGCTTCTCACAGACTCGAGAATACGAAAGTCTCACCGTTCTCGAGACCGTGCTTTAACTCGCTCGCTCGGAATTTACGCTCATGAATCCGTTTTAATTAGATTCCATCGAACTCCTGATATTCGCGATATCAAGGAGAGTATATTTGAAATAGTTGCAGCTGTAGCTTATTGCCTCGTAATTAATCGCTATATCCAAAAATCAACGCTCATTGTGCGCGACGTCGAAACTTCCCGAAATCGGGACATCATCACTTCTCGCGTGTGGAAGCTCCAAAGCGACGATCGACGAGATAATTAATTTTCAATTAGAACTCCATTTAGTGTCTCTTTATAACGGATCGATATCGATGACCCTTTGGCAGCTTGCGTGTGTATTCATCTGTTAACAAGCCACGTCCTGAAATTGAACCGCAGGACGTTCGTTAGTGAAGCCAAGAATTAATATTGACATCGTAAATGCGAGGAGCTCAGCGGATGCTATTCAGATCAACAAATTCGCGAAGAATACGTAACACGCCGCCACTATTGGATGCAACGTCGGTGTTGGTATTTCTAAGTCGGCGGTTAGACTTGCGACGAAATCGATCGTCGATCCCGCGTGTACAATATTCTTTTAATCTATTTTTCAGGACCTGTCCTACATGATCGATCTTGTACCTGTGTCAACGCTAACGACCATGCTTATCGCCTCTTTGACGCTTCTGGTGGTCACGCAATTACCCTCGACTATGAGCTCCAGCCGGTCCAGGATTTTGATAGGTCTAGCATCCTCCATCGTACTCGGTCTAGGAATTCTAATGTTAAAAGGCGTGCTGCCCCTATTCGTGTGCGTCCTGTCGATAATCGCCATTCTGCCTAAAATGAGGTTTGAAGCGCCGCTCGTCATCGGCTGTATCCTGGTCTTCGTGCATGTCTCCAGGAGATTCGTTTTCGACGACCTACCGGGCTACTACGACGTGATTCAGGTTAATGTAACCGAGACCTGAAGAATACTACTTTTCTTGCACGGAAAAATTCGTCTTAAATCAATGATATACGAAAAAAAATCTGATTACGTTAACAAGAAAGGGAACGACCGGATTCGTTGAGGTTCGTTGAAGGAAACAGAATTTCTTATGACCAAATGTGGTTTTTTATATGTGAGAATATCTATCATTGATTTAGGACTAATATTTTCCGTGTACACATTTTTTAGAATGTACATGGTGTTGCATCAACTCATTACAACGGGTTGCCTGCCCAGAGACGCGCGTGACAGAGTGCAAATGTACGCGATCAGTTCGCGCTCTTTCACTGCAGCGTGCAACCCGTCATAATAAACTATATGTTGATGCAACACATCAAGTCGAGACTATTATGATTTGAAGGGATATTCTAGAATTGTTTTTCCTCTTTATTCTAGAAATATTTTTTTCAGCAGATTGTTGTAGAGATCGTGTTCCTATTGGCTGCGATCCTTGCCGGTCTCTACTACAGACTTCTGACAGCGTCGGCTCACCGCAAAACTTTCTCCGGGACGAAGACTGTGATCGAGTCGCGGGTCAAGCTCGAGTGCGAGAGAGAACAGCAGGAACAATTATTGCTGAGCGTTATTCCCGCCTACATCGCCGCGGAGGTAAGCGATAAAAATGTATCGCGCGGAATCATCGCGCGGGAGTCGCGGGATCAAATTAAAACTTTAATTACGACTCGCCAAAGGCACTCGCAACCAATTTCTCACGCTCATACGTGCCTCGATACATAGTGAGAAACGTCCTCATGTCGTCCCGCGACAACAGCCGATTGGTGTTTAATTAAATTTGCAATTCGCAGTGGTTCAGCTTCCGGTCACATCCATTCGCGGAGATAATTCAACTCTTTGAGCGCTATAGGCGTATATATGCGTTCGGTAGTTTGGGGAGTTTTGCGTACTCGGAAAATTAACAAGAAGTGCTCGCGGACATTCACCGTCTCGTTGAAAGGAATAATTCGCATAGTGCGAGAGAAAGGAAATATAACGATTTAATTCCGAACGACTGCCTCCATCGTGGACTCTCTGCACGTATTACGACTGGTGATCTCTCGCGATGCAAATCGGTTTAAAAAATGTCGCGCTGTAATAGGAAGCGAGCGACGACTTATCGTGAGAAAAAGTTCCCTAACGAATCTAATTAAGAATCGGCGAAAAAACCCCGGATAAAATCGTACTTTAATTTGCAAGAACTTTGCTCGAGACGAAAGATAGGAAAGAACGCGTTGTGTGTGTGAGTGTCTGTATATATAACGAAAGTTTTATATTAATTATTTGAGAACGCGGATGGGAGCAATTAGTCGGGAAAGCCCCTCACCGGTTGAATAAATTGCACCTCTGAGAGAGCACATTCATCGGAGAGGAACTCGCGTATAATGTTGGGTAATATAAGAGGGCTTCAGGACGCGCTGATGGAATCGTGTCGTAAAGCCAACAAAAGTGTGTAAAAACCCCCTCCTTTACGTAAATACTCGACACCCTTCCGCAGCCGAATCTACTCATTTCCGGTGTAAATATATATCCGACCTGCTATGCCCGAAGCAGCCTTAATCATAATTTTACACAGAAAGAAACATGATGGAGTTTAATAAAATTTATTTAATTGAAGCAAATTCGTTCTTTAGAATGAAGCAAACAAACGAATGTTTGATTCAACAAATAAGATTATTTGTTTCCTCAAACAATAAATATCTCTTTACGTCAAACCAACGTACATTACGTTGGTTCGTTCAATATTACATTAATTCAAGCAAGCGTTTTTCTCCGTATAAAAACTAATTTGAACGCAAACGTGTATCATCGAATTGACGATTTTATACAGAAGATACAAAGGATTAAATGTACGATAATGTAATCGAATGACAACACATTTTAATAGCAACATTTTAATAGCACAAATAAACATTGCGATTAATTCCCAAAACTCCCGACGAAATGTTCATGTGGTAAACAGTATTTAAAAGATAATCCGACAGATTATGTTTTCAATTGAACTTTTATTGATATCGCTTGCAATCCAAATTCCGATTATTTTGAAACGATAAGCGTACGCCACCGCGCGTGCCGTATAACCGTGTTTGTCGGCAACATTAATAATTTACGACTCTGAATGAGTAATTTACGCGTTAATCCACTAATCGTAGACTATTGTATATGTACCGTTTTATCGACGTAACGTCGTTACATAATATACACATTTCCAGTTTGACGCGCGCGTCATGCAGAAATATAGAAATATTATATTATATATAGTTAACCATTTAACGCATTTGTACGCGGTGGCATAGCCGCTGTAACCATAATAATATGTACGCTCGCACATGCGCTCTTATGTTGAATGACATTCATATGCAAAATATTAATATAACACTGTGCCGCAGGTAAAGAGGAGCATAATGCTGAAGATGGCGGATGCTTGTCAGGAAGCTAATAAGCACAAGCAAACCACGTTCCAAGAGATGTATGTGCAGCGGCATAATAACGTCAGGTACGTCATTAAAATTACCTTACTCACATATCCGATCGCGGCGAAAGGGATCGCCGTGCGGTATTTCTCCGATTGTTACAATATTAATCCGAATGTCACGCGCATCCCCTTTTTAATAGTAGCATAAATTTCAAATAAACCTCGATTTTTCATTTCACAAGAGAATTAATGCTTATAGATCGCTATTGTCTACGCCCATGTAATTATTTCTTTTTTTTATCTATAACTATCGTAATTAATCACGACTGTTTTCACGATGTCATTAAGTCGGAAGGATTTCTCTCGTTCGCACGAACATCCGAATCGATCTGCGACGGACGAAGCGACGAGTTAAAAATAAAGATAAATCGCAAGGCCAAGTAATAATTTGTCCGGTGCTTCAAAAAATTTTTATCCGTCTGATTCCCGCGGGATCTTGCGTATCACAACGTTCGCATCGATTGCCACGGCAATTAAGCACATATCACGTGCGACGCATATCGATTCCGGGCCGAATTGTCTCTCATTTATTCAGCGATGCATCCGAATTTATGTCACGTGCTCGCACGATTGTGCCGCGTCCGATTCAATCTGAGCGCTTTAAATGTCGATCGATCAAAAGCGAGTTTTACCTCAATGCCGCTTTCTTTGAGATAGCGAGAGACGTGCTCCCCGAGATTAATGCGCTGCTATAAATTACACGGGTCGGAGGATATCCATTACGCGTTTATAATTAAACGATAATACGAATCGCGCTCCTTCTTTTTGGCTTGCCCAGAGAAGGGATAACCTAGACCACGAATAAATCGTTTCACACATGTTTAAAATTGATGTTAGTGTTCCTCGACGAAGTATCGCGTAATTCACAAATAAAAGCCTTCCGTGTCTTTCCTCATATTTGGTTTTGATCCACGAAAAAGTGATAATATAAGCGTGAAATTATTAAATACACGTATTTTGAAAAATCGTTGGAATTTTTCTTGCTTGTTTTAAAGGTTTTTTTTCTATATTTTTGGTAGGGAAATTTTATTATACGTAAGGATGGAAATTTTATAATACGTAATGAAGGATATATTTTTCTGTTGATTACGCAGCATTCTCTACGCGGACATCGTCAATTTTACACCGTTATCGGAGCAGCTGTCGGCTTCCGATCTCGTGAAGACTCTCAACGAGCTCTTCGGCAGGTTCGATCAAATAGCACAGGTAAGAGAACGTAAAAGCTTGACGATCAACTCAATTTCTTTCGAGCCAAATGAGTCCGATTTAATTGAAAGTAAATTTTAACTCGATGAGATGTACTGCTAATTACTATAAAAATCGCTTGTTGCGAATAAAAAAATAAGATGTTCAGCGTCGTAATTTTACATCGCGTCTTTCCCTTTAACATGTCCAGAACCGTTCGCATTATTTCTAAGTTTGATTTGGGGAGGTACGCGATATTCGATTGGATCGATAAAGAGAGAGAGAAAGGCACACAGTGCACGCAACCAGATATCTCGCTATATTGTCGTTGGTATCGTCATCCATTACACTAAGGTCGACATACGGATCCATTAATGTGGAACGAATAAAGTGTCTGAAACCTTTTATGAACAAACAGAATATACAGACCCTCGCAGTTTGCACAAAGGTAGGGCACAGAAAGCGTATCTTTGGATTTATAGAAATAATATTTACACTTTCGAAATTTCATTAATTTCTTCCGAGGAAAGCTATCCCGCGAAATTCGCAAACCTTGCTTCTGATTTAACTTGGACACCATGAGACTAAGATATAGCAATATAAGGGAGGAGGGTGGAGGATTGCTCACGAGACGAAATGCTCACGAGACGAAATGCAGAATGAAGAAATTCAACAAAATGATGGATCACTCTGGCTAGAAAGTAATGAACGCGACTGCAAAATATGATCCGTTGTACTTTTCTGATAAATTAAATGTCGCTCAATCAAACTCCAATAAAGCAATGGAAGTAGTAAGTTCCGTTCGAAGATCCATCGGCTGTCGCCTGAAAAAATATGCGCGATCGATCTTCCGCTTGCAACTATCTTTCTCCGAACTATATAACATCCATTAAATTTTGCAAAAATGTCGCTGTTTAGGCGGAAAATCAAGCACGTGAGACGATTATTGAAAAGTCTACTCAACAAAATATAAATCCATTAATCGGGATACAAATTTCATTGTATCGCAACGCGAAATTTTTCTAGCTTCGATAATGGTTTATCGGTGCAGAATTTAATTGGGATCACGCGTAGCAGGCTAATTAGGAAGAAAAGTTTCACGTTTCCGTCATTTTCGACCTGGGTCGAATTAGCTCCCGACAAAAAGCTAAGCGTCGACGATCGTAACGTTTCGCGCCACCGTTTTCCGCTAACGTACTTCCGATTTTCCGCGAGCCGTCAGGAGACGACAGCTTTAAATCTAGACTAATAAAGCTGTGGACTAATAAGATTATACGGAAAGAGGCGGAGTGTCGTAGCATTGCGAGCCTTTCTCCTCATAATCCGATGCCGCTTGCATTCTTTTCCTCGGCGAAGAAAACACGGACTTCCGCGCATCACGCTACATTAGCGCGGAAGATTGCTTTTAGAACGACAATAGAACGCGATATCAAAACGCAATTTCCGAATTCCTGAGGAAAGACTTGCTCTTTTTTATTTTTTACTTCTTTTTTATCTTTGTTAGCGCAATCGACTTAAACACAGGAAGGAAAGTTTAACTACGTTTCTCGTGTATATGTGTGTGTCCACTCATAAAAAAAAGCATATAAACTCCATTATTGCCTCTTTCCTACGATTAGCTGTCTCGAAACTCCGCCTCGATCCGAGTCATTGTTCACTTCGATTCGAGGCTATCGCGAGCTTATTCAGTTATACATAAAATGAAAAATTTTTTCATACAATAAAGAAATTAGTGAAATAGCGCGTGTTGTTCTAACCAAAGAAAAGAAGCAAAAGCTATCTTCTCCAGGGCTGCATTCCAATATCCATCGCCAGTACTGAAAATCGATAATATACGTAACATAAACTGTGGATTTCCGGTACTGACAGTGAATATCGGAAAGCAGTCTAAAAGAAAAAAAGTGCAACAGCCTCTTAGATCCGTGAGAAACAATCGTATATCATAATTCACAAGTACATCATTAGAAAAGTGGTTACTGAGATGAAACCTAGTTCCCGATTTTACATTTTTCGCACGAAACGAATAAAAATCATTAGCGACCCGATCATGCGTGCCGCTCGTTAACTCTCTCATTACCGTATCCGCCAACCGCCCGGCTCTTGAAATTCTTCAAAACTATTCGAGTCGCAAGGGCGGACGTTGCGGTTCGTCCGCACACACATCGGCCGAAGTTAATATCGACCAGCAAATATGAAACGCTGCGTGTTTAACGCCGAAACTGGTGAAAACACACATCGAGTCGGTGGAAATTTTAAAAGGGACTTCCATTTATTTTTCAACCCGTTCGTGACCACAACACCGTCCTCGCCGCCTCCGTCGTGATCGATCACGAGCTTTAGAAATTGTTTATAAAGCTGAGCGCCTGTTCGAGGAGCAGCGAGCCCGGAAAGCAGCTCAGCTTGTTAAATCTTGCTCGCCGAGAGACCACGTTGCACGCGTCAAGGCCTCCGGGTTTACGAGGATCGCATAACTCCACTTTATAGCGGCCGGAAGACTCACGAGGTGACACCCCAGCACGGCACAAATCCGCGGCAGCGGTCCAACCTGGTCGTTTCGCCGAGGTTTTTCCGCCACTCGCGATTTTGTAAATTCAAACTCCTCCCGCACGCGCTGATCGCTGACGATGACTTGATTACCTCGGACGGTCGCGCTCAATTTGAAGGATCCTTGATGCGCGGTTTTAACTGGCTACTCCGGACGGGTCTTGCCTCGTATTCCTCTAGACAGATCCCGCATTTTCTACCGTCAATCTGTTATCACACTCTGTTAACAGATTCTATTGTATTTCTGTTAATAAGCTGCCGGCAAAATTTCTCACGATACTGTGCAAAATCTGCTTCTGCTTTCTGGCTATCTGAGTCCCTGTATTTAATTCCTTGTTCTTATTCCTTTTATTATGCCTGAACCCTTATAAAAGAGTCGGATCACTCCGTGATCGCGGGATATATCAGCGAATCCGCGCGATTGTTTATTATGGTTGTACGTGCAAAAGTGAAAAACAGACCCCCGCACGGACACCGTAATAATGGCGAAAATATGACGGCGGCACACGGGTCGATGACGGAATTATGCTACGGATAAATTCCGCGTCATCTTTAGAGCAAATTCCACGGCGTCTGCTCGTTGTATTAGTCCCGACTCTGTTCTCGTGAGAGACGCACCCGCGCTCATGGTTATTTCCATAATCTTCCCCGATTGGCGGAAAAATTACAACGACAAAATTTTTCCGGATTCAATATCCCGGGTCTCGCTCGGTTAAACCGGAATTTACTGATTCCGGTTGCGACGAGGGTGATGCGCGGTAATCTTTTGCAGCGCGTCACTTCTCGTCCCTTGAATCGCTGCGTAACGCCGCGTGTAATTGCCGATTCTAAGCGATAAATCGCAATTTGCGAGCTGTAAGTTCGCACGAAGATGTAATAAAAATTACAAGAAAATCTCATTAGAAACTTCGGCGTGCTTCTCCCGCTCTCAAGTTCACGAACTGAAATCTTCGTACAATTAATTGTACAATGAGACGTAATAAAGCATCGTCGTAATCTGTAGAGGAAACATGATTAATAAATTTCAAAATTCATTTTCAGGAAATACATTTTATTGCCAATCGAAAGTTCTCGCAAGAGACACATATCGATATTGTCTCATTGAGAAAAAGAAGTGGCGGAATCAACGAAATTTTGCTTAAATGAACAAAATTTTTTCAAGCACCGCGTTCAATCTACTAAACAAATTATATACAGTTGCTGTAATGGATTCAACGATTACGATTTGGTCAGCAACTATATCAGCGCAATGTATTGCTGCACCAACACGCAATTTATTCAGCGGATACAATATTATATTGAATGAGGGTGATCGCCGGTTTCGTCTACTATTTTACCTCAGTGTATAAATTTTTCAATATTTTTAGATTCTGCATCATTCTGCATCATTAGCGTCCAATAAAGGGAATATAATTATTAATATTACTTAAAATTATTGTTATTTAATTATATGTAATATTATTTTAGGGTGTTGCAATATCAATAACTTTTGATATACTTCAACGAAAATACAACCTCGTATTTGCAATTTTAATTGAAAATGAAAATAACTTCCGTCCGAGCGAAACGTTTATTACAAAATATTTTCAATTCTCAAATTTCGTGGAATCCGAATCAGATGGCAGTGTCGAATAAATCAATAACGGACAAATTATCTCCGAAATCGTGATCAAACGGGAAAACTTGTAATTAAGCGCAAAAACAAATATGCACCGAGAACATTTTTTACCACAAACGTAAAGTAAAAGATGAAAAATTTATCACGATGTAAATTCCCGCGAAGTTAAACAAGTTACACGGTCGCATAATTTGTTACACGTTTCCAGCGCAGAGCTCCAAATGAATAAAAAAGTACGAGTAAATAGCGAAAGGGGTCGTGCATTCTAGGAGGCTTCTCTTTCCGCGTAGAATTAAATGAAATGACTATTAAACGTTGAGCGTGTCGCGACATTTTAGATATGTTCGCGGCATCTGACGCACGTTTATCGCTAAGCGGCTTGTAATTTACATAACGGCCAAAATGGTAACGGTAACAACCCAAATGAAGGATATCTCGGAGTTGTTTCGCGCATGTTCCCTTTTTCTTTGCGTTTTCGATGTGCAGCCGGCAGAAAAGTAGCGTTCCTCGCGACTTCTACAACGACTGTCGTCGGCAACCCCCCGCCGATTTTCCGTAACGTCTTCCCACTGAGTTTCACGGCTGATAAAGCCGGACGAGATAAGAGGCGAAGGGCTAGATAGGAGGAGGGAGAGCCACGTAAATCCGCGAGCAGCGAAGCAGAAAATGCAGGAAAGACAATATTCTCGCTGGCGATAAACTTCCTATGACCTTTCTCAAATCAGTCACATTATAATATCAGGAGCGAAGGATTATGTAATTTTCCTTTTTTCGCTTTTTTATTTCATTTCACTTTTCCATAGAAGCCAATTTCGCTGTAAAGTGCGCGTGATATTATCGCACGCGTCAAGCTGTATTCGTTCCAGCATCGTTCCACGCGGATCTCGCCAAGTTTCCCCTTGCAGATCCTCTGGAAATTAGGTCTAACTAATCTAATCCAGATCCAATCTTGGATTATGGTGCTCTCGATAGTATCCCAAATGGTCCGGACTAATACTCGGGATTTTCAGATGCTTCGCCTTCACGTTTTAAGATCGGATCTTAAATCGTCCGAAGTCTCGCGAGTCTGAAGGAGTACACGGAGAAAAAAGATTGGTTGAATTAACGCAAACGCGTCCCCGATTCCCCCCCGAAAATAAATTGGTGACAATGAACGAACCAAACACGTGTCGATTGACAAAAACGGAATTCCCGATTCTTCGAAATCAAATTCGATTGTAAGAACCATCTGTTTCCTTCGACCAAAAGGCGTTTGACTTCGTTGTCACGTTAATTTAACCAATCCTTTTTCTCCGCGTATTACTCGACTTTTTTTAATCTATTCACTTAGGTAATGCATTGTGAAAAAAAGAACAATTTTTTTCTATATATACCCGCTAAATGCAGTAATCAAACACATTTGATGGGTACATATCAACCAAATTTTGATATTTGTTGTACCAAATCTTTCTTTCAGTGTGTATCACATGAATCGCGAATAATTCTTTCCGAATGGACCACCAATTGTTCGCGCTCGCCCATTCTCTGAAAAGCAACTAGGAACGCGATTGTCGCGGCCAAAGAGAAACGTCGTCGCACGATACGAAAGAGAGAGAGAGAGAGAGAGAGAGAGAGAGATACGTCATAGATGGAAAAACTTTGTTCGTGCACAAAGACCATCAAAGCTTGGTCGGGATATGCCTCTGTCCATTTCCCGCCTTTGAGGGCAGCGTCTAGAAACGTGTTTGTCTTCGCTCGACAAATCGCCGCGAGGAAGCTCTTCGATAAGGAAAAGAAGATAATTGCCGAGAGATTTGAAATCTTAAGCGACGATTAATTAACAAATTGCACGGTACGCTCTTGCGGCTGATGGACGCCTTTGCGACGCGCGAACAGACGCTCGTTACAAAGCGCGGATTTGCAAGTACCATGAAATTCATTAGCGTTAAACGATATCAATTATTACTCGCTTTGCGAATTATTTCTATCGGGCGCGTGGTGCACCGGCGCGCGACTATGCGAGCGCATTTTTCTGCGAAAAGTCTTAATTAATTTGAATTTTCCAATCAAACTGATTATTGTAGTTGATAAGAGCGACAGTCGCGCGTAAATAAGGCTAATCGAAGCGATTTCTCGTGAAACTGTCATATAAATGTAAACGAACGGCTTACGTAAACGGAAGTTATTTACGCAAGTTATCTCTCTCTCTCTCTGTCTTCCCATTTTCGATCCAGTCTAGTTACAATCGGAAAAGTTGTGGCTTCTGCAATGTCGGCATTTTATTGTTGTCAATAAAGAATGCCTGACCATGAATATCGAATTATTAATATCGCGTTAAGAGAAAATTTTTGTATCGAATAAAGCTGCACAAATATTTTATATATTTCATAACATTTTGATTGAAATGCAGTTGAAATATTCCGACAGTTATTACGAAATTAATTACTGCGAAAGTGTATAATTTTCAATATTTTCAAGATTCTTTGCGTTCAATTTTGCATCTTTGTGCTTTCGCGGCTTAGTATGAATAATTGACTTGCTATTTTCAGGACAATCAGTGCATGAGAATCAAGATCCTAGGTGATTGTTATTACTGTGTCTCTGGGCTCCCGGTCTCTCGTCCGAATCACGCTTACAACTGCGTAAACATGGGACTGCAAATGATCGACGCCATCAGGTAAGAGGAAAATAGCGGCATGTCGGCAGCGTGAGCGACGGCAGCTCGTTAATTACGTACGCTTTTCTCTGCCATTTTTTTTAAATTGTTGCCCGCAGCGACGGTGCGTGAAAAAGTGCAAAAATAATTACTGCCTTACTTTTGCACTCTGAAGAAATTGCAAAAAGAGGAAACTTCTCTTCGCAAGGTCTGCAGGATCTGCGATATTGTTCGCTGCATATAATGAGAATAATTAATTGTCAATAATTCCGTAAGAATCGTCATAATTGTCCATTGAATAACACGTCACTAATAATTTCGATATTTGGTCTAAATCGGTCGAGAAAATTCAGATAGGAAAGATTCTTGGAAAATCGGAAGAACAATTTCGGATTTTATTCGAAAACTAAGGATGGAAGTTTATCTATAGTTTACACGGTTACACAACCACGTCTATTTATGAGGATCATCCATAACAGTTTAACAACTAGATGCACGCGCGTTAATCCTCTCACTATATTACCGCTAATTACACATTCGCGGGCGCTTTGTCGATGACGTCATTCGCACATCGAAATACGATTATTTCGCTTGCTTGGCGCTGATTACACCATTGATACTTCGTAGTTACAGATGCATTAATGATTATTACGTAGCGCTGATAACCGAAAGACTGACCGGTATCCTCAGTGATCGGAGTAATTCCTTTAAAAATTCAGTTATTGTAACAAGGTTTCGGAGTGGAACATGCTAACACAGTGTCTATAATGAATAAAAAATATTATCATTATTAGAGAACACAATATTCTCGAAGTTATTGCTTTAACACAAATCTCATTACTAGGAAACACATTTTCTTCAATCAACGATTCTTCTGTAAGCGAATAATCAGTACAATTAACTGTTATACCCGCAATAAATGGAAATCACGCGTCTCGCGGATCTCTTCCGAAGTACAATAACGAGTGTTTGTGCTGTCCTCGTTGCACATTTGACTTTACATGTACAGCCATCTAATTCCCATGGTAAGTTTACACTGTGCCGTCGTCGCTCGCCATAGCGGCATAGCTGCAAACATCGAATAAAGGCTGCCGGGTAACTCATACGGGCTAAGGAAAAATCCGGGAATCGATTAAGCCGCGGTTTGTCTAATATTTGCGGGCAGAATATGTCCTTGGATAAATAAATAGTGCTCTCGGATGCAGCGAGCGAGGGAGGGAGATCTGCGGAATACTTGCCGCGCGCGCTCGAAAAGATCGCGAGGGAGGCATTCTGGATTTATGCATGTTCGCACGTAGGTTCGTTCGCGAGGCCACCGGCTTCAATGTCGACATGAGGATAGGAATTCACACGGGTAACGTGCTGTGCGGTGTCCTCGGCCTGCGGAAATGGCAATTCGACGTGTGGAGCGACGACGTGACCCTGGCCAATCACATGGAAAGCGGCGGTCTACCGGGGTAAGACGATTTTCCCACTGCACCGTGACCCTCTTCTCACCTGTATTGATACATACTACACCGATACACGTGGCGTTAACACCTGCGATATTTCTCTCGCGCGATTTCGAAGAAAGGAAAAGAGTTACCTGCCCGGAAAACGTAAGATTACGAAAGACACACGAGAATTTCGCGATTTTGTCCAACTTACAAGTGTTAAATTTAACGCAACATTTTTCATTGTGTGAAAAAGTTAATATCGAACACGTGATCCTGTCTTTTGTATATAAAGAAACTGTTTCATCGATCAGTGCCTTTTTTTTTTAATAGTTAAGCATTAAACATCATTATTGCGAATTATTAAACAATGGTATAACTTGTAAACACAGCTTGAATCTACGTTTACTGTGTTTATCACGTTTGCAAGTGTTTATTGAGCGATTCACAGTCAGATCAGTGATGTAAACATCCACGCGTATTAAGTTATCCGGGTTTCACTCATGCGAGATTTCTTCATGAGATTTAAATCAGTTAAATCGATACCATTGTAACCATAACGGATTTCTCGTAATTTTCCAGGAGAGTTCACATAACGAAGGCTACTCTGCTGCAGCTGGGCGATCGTTTCGAGGTGGAACCAGGCGATGGGAGGTCTCGTGAAAGTTATCTCGCTCAGCACAAAGTGGAGACCTTCCTTATCGTGCCACCCACTGTACGTGAGAATCTCGTTGCTAAGAATAACGTCGCGATCCTCTCTCATGATTTCGCAACTTGTAAGCAAGACACGCTGCCCTTTAATTTCCACGACTAACAAAGACGGACAGACGATCGCCGAAGGAAAAATGTAGACACTCGCGATCTATCTTCATTTATTCGCTGCAACAGCGTGTGCTTTGTCCCGGCGCGAAATAATTAATGATATCGAGCGGGAACCGAGTTGCTTGGTGGCAGCGACAGCGTAATAATTTAAAACGAAAGATAAAGAGCGTCTCAATTGTAACAAGTAGATATTGCTATCGATCTCTGGTACACGCGATGCAATATTTCCTTCACGGTCGAATAAATTCGCAGCAGACCGCGAAATAATTGAAAACAAAATTATTGCAATTCCGCTCAATTTGTTATACCACCGGCATTACGCTTTCTCGAATTCTGTCGAGACAACGTTATAAAACTTCCAAATTTCACGGAACATGGATCGCGCGTTGCAACTTGAGACGCGAAAGTATCCATGAGAATCGCCTCGTGGAGCGAATTCGCTGCGGTTTTCTTCGCGAAAGGGACGGGCGATTAAAGGAATAACGACGAATAATCTGCCGCAAAGTGATAGTAAAGTTCGCCCGTGAAGCGAGAAATCCGGGTAAATTGGCCGCACCTTATTTCTGTACGGACGAACTTCGGATCGTAATGTCACGTTTATCGCAGCGATAAAGATCCCAGGCGGAAGCTCGTTAAAAACTTGCTGTAAATTCCCGCCGAGTCGCGCTTTCCCCGCCGCGCGAATTTATTCGCGTCTCCCGTGGCTCCCGAGGACACCCGATTCTTCCGGGCGTGCTATAATTTCGTGCGCAACTCGAGTCTTACGTAAACGCGCGGATGTTCTCGGGGAAAACGCGGATAACTCGCCTTGGAAGAGAAACAACTGGAATCTCATCGCGGAAAGGCGGGCTTATGTGCGCGCGTTTACGTTATTCCGCGCGCAAAAACCTTTGATAACGACGACAGTGATTAATTCCCGTCGCTTGAAATTCAATCACCGTATTTCATAGTTAGACGTAACTCACTGCCTTTCCAAGCAGAATGAAAAGTTACAATAACGTCACAATGACAGTAAAATAACTTCCAAAGGTCATTTTTTGATTATGACAGATTGATAAAATTATGACTTTAGAATTTGAAAATTTAATGATTTGAAAAAATCAATTATTTTTCAAATTTGAAAAAGTATCGTTCTACTTAAGGTATTAAGTAACATCACTTTGATTTTCCATAAATAATTACTTTTTCACGTATCTTGATGTCATCTTGACTTTTATATAACTTTTTGTTCTGCTTGTGGTTAAAAATTGGAGCGATCTACGAGCGAAAATTGAAAAAATTTTTTTTCAAGTTTAATTTCAATAAAAAAATGTTCGCGCGCGCTATTCCGTTTTTCTTATTTATTTGTGTTAATGTTAATACATTTTGCATAATTTTATTGTTTTTTGCATATCTTTGCTTTTTTAATGATGTTAAACTTGAAAACAAAATTTTTTTTTAATTTTCGCTCGAATATTGTCCCAAATTTCAATCACATTTGCTCTGTTTGGATTGCGCTCTATCAAGAAGGTACTCCGCGAGCGAATGTGTGCGTGCTAGTGAACACTGAATATTTCATTTAAATTAATTATAGTAAATTATTTATTTCTCTGATGGAAAATCGCGTGAAGCTCTTAAGTCCCGTCTACATAGATCGCCACATGCAGAGGCGTATATAAAATAATATTCCACCGCACTAAAGGGCACGCATTCGCAAAGTGGCCACATGCAACGAATTAAATCAATTCCAACTTTCTACGTCACGACAACTGCGTTGACTAATCAGAGAAAAGCAAAGAATAGTTTTCGCTTTTCTGCTACCGTTTGCAAACTGCGTTTTACATGTTGCCGTAGACGAGTCTTTTAGTACGCGAAAATCGTACGCAAACTACATTTCACGTCGTATTTTACATTTCATCGAAGTGAAGCTAATCGCTGTGATATCCACTGATGATGCTTATTTTTCCCGTAGAAGAGCAGAGAGGAAAATGAAATGGAGAACGGTGGAAATCGCATACACGGACCTGGACCGGTACCTTCCAGGTATGTTCCATTATATAATTCCGTTTAATTTTCGATAGTAATACGTTTAAAAGTGCAAAACAGTGAGCAAATGCTAAAAGCCACATTGTGATTAAAAGAATAAAACAAATATTTTGCTTCCGACATATTTTGCACGATACGTATATGGAAAAAAATAGCGTAATTGGAGTAAATCTATATGACTCAATGGTAAGTATCATTAAAACTATTACGTCATATATTGTTTCAATAATTAAAATATTAGTTTAAACGATATTGCTTTTGTATCAAGAAAATTTACACCAATTACACGTGCTATTGGAAATTCTATCAATTCAACGGTATTTTTTTTCCATATATGAACATATTTTTCTCAGAAAATATCCCGACTTTCTCTCACGTTGACGCTAATAATTTAATTAGGATGTTAAATTAATTTTGCATTCATATTATCGGTTTCGTACCAATGTAATCGTATTTTGCATTATTGTATAAAATGAATTATAAATTGCGGCATTAATTATGGATTTGCCGGCGAGATGGTGTGATTGAAGATATCGCGTGTTTCACGAACAGATCGAGGCCCAGCAGCAAAATGACCAAGTACGTGGAATGTTGGGGAGCGGACAAGCCCTTCGCGAATATCGCGGAGGCAACGTTGGCGAAGAATATCGGTCTGACAGTAAGCCAGAATTAATTTCCGTAGCTTTGGTTTTGCATTTAACGCAGTAATTGAAACGCACTTCTCCTTGCCGACAGAGCATCGCGATGATCGAGTCGAATCTATTGGAATCGAACAATGCCAGCTGCTTCGACACGCAGTGAGTTATACATATTATTAATTAACGTCAATATCGTGCCGGCAGGAATAAAAGATCGGTAACTCGATAACGTGTCCGATAAATGATACGCGTGATACCTCGGCGCTTCAATTTTAATGTCGTAAGCGCGATTGAGGCCGAACATTGTCAGTTAAAACAGTTAGCAATATGATGAAAATTAATTCTTCACGTTATTCCACTTCTTCTCCTCTTTCATTATATACACGGCACGCGCGCCGCACGCGTATATTGTAATTATTAAAATTAATTAACACGTCTGAATACCATACCGAATGCCTCGTGTACCAACAAATGTAATCTCCAGACGACGAATTAAAATCGCACGATAATATTAACGCTCAAGAAAATCGAATGTGTGTGTGGATGTATTTTGCGATATAGAGATATTTCCAATTTTTATGCACGATGTAGGCATTGGTGCGGCGGTAATGAAGGGATATCGCCGTTTACTTATTGGTTCAAGGACAAGAATCAAGAGCAACAGTATCAAGAGCAGAGGGATGAGCAGTACTCGTGGTACGTCATCGCCTCGAACGTAGTTTACATGTTGATGTTCTGCATCCAAATTATTTATCTACCAAGGTGAGTTTCCGTAGGTTAATTAAACGTTTGATAGTCGCCTCGGGTTCCGCGTTAAATTGATCATTTAATGACTGAACTTGTAAAGTAATTATATAATATTCGCGAATTTTCGTAAAGTTACGCTTTGTTAGAGTGTATTTGTCAAATTTTATCTTTTCGGGGGAGGACAGGTTAACACGGGGGGTTATTCGGGGGTTATTATATTGCTGAAATTAATTGTATTCAATTAGAATCACACAGAGGAAAAGGTTTTTTTTGAATTTAATCTCATGTTTAACTTGAGTTTGTTTAATATAAGCAACATAATTTAATATCAAATATCATTTTGTTCGAATAAAAATATTATTTCACTGTAACAAACCATGTTGTTTGGTAGGAAAAACAGTATTATTTGGAGGAAATAATATAATGGTTCGATAAAAGAAAAATTTCTTTCATTTTATCAAATCCGAAGAAATCATTTTCTCTGTGTAGGGGTTAATATTTTGTGTTTCTCTTTCTGGCGGAGAAGTTGATTTTTCTCCCACTTATAGAAGCATCGTAGTTTACGGTTGCTTCGCAGCCGGCCTAGCATCGCTGATTATATTCGCCGCGATATCATGGTTCAATGGAAAAATCGATAGCAACGGTGCCGAAGAGTCAACAAATCAAATCGCACTTAGCCGCGGTATCAGGATAACGGTGTATTTGATAACCGCTTTGCTGGCTGTTGCATCGTCGGTTATTAGCCTGATCGACGTTGATCAAACTGTCGGATACGACATCGTACCAGTGCGTATGTTCAGAAATATTTTATTTAATAAAGGATGATATTTTACTTAATAAATTATATCGTCTGTCGTATATGGCGAGATTTTTATCACATTCGAAATTCAAATACCACACATATTACAAACTTAAAATAATATAATTAATATTTTAATATTAAAATATCATTTGGAGAATGTCCAAGAACGTTATAAAACCGATATAGAGAGAGGTGTACATTAAAATAAAAAATTAGATATCTTGAAACGTACGTCTGATGTTAAATTTGCGATTTTTCCCGATGAGTTAAGAGATCGGTAGAATATTTTCACATTTTAGAGGAAAATTCCGTTAGAGAAAATTTATTTCCTCGGTGTGTCACAGATTTTGGAAAAGCATGTGTTACGCGAGACAAACGTTCGTGTGTTTTATTGCGTTCACCTGACAAATATATATTTTCAGCTATACGTGTACTCGACGGTGATAGCATTAGTGGTCGGTTGGACGCATTTGAGGGTCGGCTTCTTGCTTAAGCTGAGTGTAATGTTCCTATCCGTAGTCGTAATACTTGTGGTCTTCTCCCAAGCACCGGTAATTCGGCTTTATTACGAGAATCCTGGAGCCAAGTGAGTGAAACGATCTTAAAGCTCGTACAGGGCGTTATGAATCGTAAAGCTCCGCCAACGCTTCCTCGCGTTTCCGCAGGTTTTATGGGGTCTATTATCTGATGCAAGTGGGATATCTGCTCGCGCTCGTCAGCGTAATACTACACATTTTAGACAGACAAGTGGAATACTCGTCCAGGACAGATATCCTATGGAAGAGTAAACTGAGGGTCGAGCAAGACGAGGTGGAGACCATGAGGGGCATCAATAAGATTCTCCTAGAGAATATACTTCCAGCTCATGTGGCAGATCACTTTTTAGCCACAAGAGACACGCAAGTGAGAAATCTCTGGCATTATTCGTATCTTGATATTCACCACATTATTACATTGTAATACATGACAATTTACGTATACACGGAGAAAATATTGTAGTAAAGATTACCATAACATTTTATGATATTAGTCTATACCGGAATTGAAATTATGATACATGTTGTAATCTTTAATGACGTACTTCATTATATGCAGGGTAGGCCAAAAATCTGGATACATTTGAATAAAGATGAAAAGAAACTGAAAAAATCCGTGGGAAATGGAAAAAACCTTGTTTTTTCCGTGTCTTCAAAAATTTGGTATTAAATAATAAATGATATTTTGGACCAAAGCGTTGTTTTTTGGCAGGAACTCTATCACGAGAGATACAGCAGCATCGCTGTGATGTTCGCATCGATTCCTAACTACAAAGAGTTCTACGACGAGACGGACATAAATAAACAAGGGCTCGAATGTCTGCGTCTGCTCAATGAGATTATTTGCGACTTCGACAAACTCTTACTCAAGCCGAAGTTCTCTGGGATTGAGAAGATTAAGACGATAGGCAGTACTTACATGCTAGCGTCTGGCCTGAGTCCAGGAAAGGAGGATGGTGACGGCAAGGTGAGATCGTAAAGTAAAGTGATCCCTTTCTAAGTTGCTACGAAGTCTCGTTAACTTACGAATAGATTTATAATTGATAAATTTGTTCTACGACCGCGGTTTGAATGAGAGAGCTTTTCAATGAAAACAATTTTTATAGGAAAATTCTGAATAATTTTTCTTAATTTTGATAAATGACTCGAAGTAAAAGAAAATAACGTTGTTCATTATTAATAATTTTGTGATAATAAATTTGTTATGTAGGATCTGCTGAAACAGCAGGATCATAACGTAATAGTACTCGTCGAATTTGCCATCGCGCTTATGACGATCCTGGATCAAATCAACAGAGATTCCTTTCAGAGATTCAAATTAAGAATGGGTGAGAAACTATTAAAAATGTTAATTTGTTATTCGTTTGCCAGTTTCCTTCTGGATTCCGCGACACGAATATAAATAACTGACGACTAATTCCTTTTTTATCCGTAGGCCTAAATCACGGGCCGGTGATAGCCGGTGTCGTGGGCGCCCAAAAGCCTCAATACGACATCTGGGGAAATACAGTGAACGTGGCTTCAAGGATGGACAGTTGCGGCGAAATGGGCAAACTTCAAGTCACTGAAGACACAGCCAAGATCCTCATCGACGCTGGATACGAGCTTATTTGCCGCGGCCCGACGTTTGTTAAGGGCAAAGGAACACTCACCACGTATTTTGTGAAAACACCCTTCGATGATAAGGAGGACAACTATTAATAATCACCCACAAACTATTGGGACGATAAAAGTGTGCTGTGCAATCACGAGGAATCTTTTCTCTAAGAACATTGCGCTTAACATATTTGAGCATGCAAAGAGAATATATCCAGAATATATACAGTACAATGTCCCAAATCTTTGATATGAGAGACATCTTTGAGATATCTTAAAGGCATCTATGAGTAAGACGCCTTAGAGATATCTTTAAGACGTCTTACGTCCCGATTTTGGATATTGTGCTGTCTGGGTATTCTTGTCAGGACGAGGCGATTCCAGAAACTTTAGCGACTTATCTGTTAATATAAGATGATAATGAGTGTAAGGTTTACTCGTTTAACTCCGTAAAATAAGGTGTTTCACCTTCCCACGAAGGTAAGTAAGTCTTCGAAGAGAAGAATCGCATGAGAAGAGCGATACTTCTCGAAAAGTTTATTATGAGATTCGTAGCGCAATCGCGACCTGTGTATTCCGAAATGCTGACCTCGTCTTCGCCGTTTTACACGTAAAAAAAAATTAATAATCGACGATTATTATGTCTTCTCGATGTTTTTTTTTTCTGCGCTCGATTCAACGTTGGACAGGGGAAACGAGGAAGTGCGCAGTAGCGATTATTGTGTTCTCCCAAATAATTTTATATATTTTAGAGACGAACGCTGATCTCACGCGCGTATATGTAAAGATACTTCGGATTCTCGGCTACTGCGGACGAATCATTTCGAACGTCAACCTCTTCCAATTTTCGACTAGTAACCGGCGAACATCGTTACACTGTACCTGCAATTAGAGATTAACAGTAGCTGTATATACGTACATAACTGTACATGTATGATTAATTCGTTTCGGGAGCTGCGACATGCGGGGGAACAGTTTGATCTCCATCGAGAAACAACGAGATCTCCTCGAGCTATACACCCCAAGCACATACGATCGATGTACAACATTGCTTTATACAGCCGACATTGATTGCCTTCATCCACGATTCAAAAGTATTGTGAACGTGATTATGTGAATAAAGCGATTATGAAGTTCACGTTGATTACGATATTATCCCCGTCCCTTTACGATGGGATATACAGACTTTCGTCTTGGAAAATATTAATGAGTCAGCATTCATGACATACTTTTTAATTAAAAACTCCAAAAAATCACGTCTTGAAATCGATATTTTGTCAGCTAATAACTTGATCCGGAAAATTTTATTTTCGCCGACAACTTCATTTATATAATAATTTGTAGATACACATGTAGATATTGTGGGCATTCGTGCGACTGTAACAATGTGAAAGCACCAAGTCAGCATCACTTGGAGAAAGGCAAAACGACGAGGTCGAAACATCAGAAATAGCGGTATTTATTGTAACATTACAGATTTATCAAAACAATGAAGTTTCTGTACAAATAAGATAAGTGTAAGTTTTCACAGCAACGTAGTTTAAAGTTTATGCGTAGCACGAGCCTTGGTTCTGCAGGCACCATTCGGGTTCCAGACTGTCCGCGTCGATTCCTCGGTCCACGAGTCTCTCGCGATGTCTCAGCATTCTCTGCTCAGCGTGATACCATTTGTATGCCGGTTCGGTCCATAATCGTTCAGCCATCGCAGCTGACCGCGGCCACAATCTTGAATCGGTTGATGTACTGTCCGCCTGCTCGGTCCACAGAGCTGCCTCTCCACCTGCAACAAGAATACGCAACGATCGCGTTACAACCACCAGATAACGCTCTACTTTCGCCCGTCCAGACCGAGAAAAGTGAAAATAATTTCGCCCAAAAGATAGATTTACCTAGAATAAGGTGCTTCTTGTGCCCGTATCCCTGACCCTTCACTATTTCTAACGGTGAATTGTCGTAAATCTTCTGCCATCCCTTGTACGGCGCGCACCAATTGTTACCTTCGCCCACCCAAGCTGAGAATCTATGAGTAATAAAACATTAATAATAAATTTGTAATAATACACAATTATAATATATTTACACGTGAATTAACTGTTTCACGCTGATTTCCCGAAAAAAGGAAATCTATTAATTTTCTTTACCCGCAGTCAAGGTACAGAGCATCGTAGTTCGACATAATGATCTTGAAGTCATTTTTCAGCAGTCTGCCGATGGTCTCGTCGTCGCCAGTGGTCCATATCTGAATGATGTACTTCTTCGGATCCAGATGCTGAAGATTCTCGGCATTAGTGAGCCCACTAGTCCAGAGGATGGCCGGGATGTCCTTGCCGTTATTGGCGATCTTCAGTTTCTCCAAAGCCTTCTCCTGGAAATATTCCCACAACACGTAGAAACTGGACTCGCTGAGGTCCCATCCCTTCTTCAGCATCCAGTCGGTGATGATTTTCGTGGATCGCCAACAATTGATGTTCACTTCGTCGCCGCCCATGTGAAAGATATCCGGGAATTCGAAGTCCTCCATCATGTCCTTATAGATGCCTTCCAGGACCTCGTACATTCTCTCACTGGTAGGATTGAGCTGGCCGCACGGCGGCTCCACACAATAATCTTTCCAAGGCTCGGCTTTGAAACACACCGTCGAATTATCGCCAACCTGTTTATTAACACATAGCAACACTGAAGATATCGGAAAGAAGAAGTCTTGGGTGAGCATCCTGATTCGATTATGTTCTCTAAACGATTTTGTTGCTTAATATCTTTTCAATTGTTTCAAGGTGTTAACTATTATTTTCATATTTTTTCCTATTATATCTTCTCTGATTTTACGTTATATTAATATAGGCATAAGCGATATCGCTTCTCAATTGACCAAAATCGTACGAAAATCAAGTTTCGTCGAAATAATTTTCGTTACGACGCCTCGAATAAATCGCAGTTTCGCTCTCGCTATTATAAATTTGCAACATTTAATAATTGCGAGTGCCGTAATTGGCGTGTTATCAATTTAGCGATCTTTTCATCGTTCCTAACGACATGATCTTTGAATTATCTCATTCAAATAGGGAAACGAACGATTGATGACAGTCTACTATCCGATGAGTCCTAATTTCTGCTTCACGTTGCAGAAGTCGCCACTCACCCATTGCCAACCCTCGCCGACGTGAGCTGGAGCGTCGAACTCTGGCAAGACTCTGACACCGCGAACCAAGGCATAATCGACAATCTCCTTGATCATCTCGGGCGTGTAGATCTTGGTCGGCGTGTAGCTACCGTATTTGACGAACTTGGGCCACGTCCTGCTGACGTAGGGGAAGCTGTGGGAGTCGGTGATGTGCCAATGGAAGGTATTCAGCTTGGACATAGCCATGCCCTCGATCGTCCGCAGGATCGTCTCCTTGTCCACGTAGTTCCGGCTGGTGTCCAAGAGGATTCCGCGATAGGGGTACTTCGGAGCGTCCACGATGTAGGCATCATCGGCCACTTGCACTACGTTGCGCAGATCGTCGAAGACGATCAGTTGGCTGAGGGTCTCCATAGCGTGACGAGCGCCGAAGTACGTCTTCGCCGTGATGTGCGCTTCCACCTGAAAATTAATCAGAATCTTGTCTGTCCCAGCAAGCAATCTGTCTAACGACAGATTGTGGACGGATTCATGGTCATCTGTGTCCGCAATCTGCTGTTGTTCGATCGATAGAATCTGCTGACAAAATCTGGCAACGGATTGGCGGCAGAAAGTGAACTGCAATATGTACTAGTTACATACGACAGATCCTGTTTGATTTCCGCCACCAGTTTGTCATCATACTCTGTCATCGGGTCCCGTTATATTTCTGCCAGCAAGCTGCTTAAAGATAGTCTGCTCTTTTTAATTGAACTGATTGAACTAATTCAAGAAATTTATATACACATATATATTGAAGCGTACGAAACGTACGTACGAGATTCTCACGCTTCAGTGTGCATACATTTCTTAAATTAGTGCAACCGGTTCAACTGAAAAAAAAAACAGACCAAGAGTCTGCAGCAGACACTATGCAAGATCTACATTGCAAATTTGGCTCCCTGAGGCATATAATTGTCGACATTGGAGCTGCATATCGCCTATGCTGTATCCCGTCGATGAAAAGAACGCGAGGAGGAAGTGCAGAAACGTAAAAAACATGAAGAATAAGATGCGACACGATCAGGCTGTGGAAAACTTGAACGAACTTAATTCGTCTGACTAGCGCGTGTCATCGACAAATTGGAGAGGTCACAGTCACTCGCGGAATCTACGTGCCCGGACAGCCGAGCCAAGATAAAGAACCATGACTTAACAGTAAATCATGTTACATCGTGTCGCATGCACACCTATAGCTGCATCCGCTCAAAACGCGCGGACAGCAGAAAACTTGTTTATGGCTCTCGGATATCCATGTCACTAACGGCAGCTACGAAAATAATAGTAACACGTTGAAGTAACGGGGAGTCGTTGGTACTGGTTACAAATTAACCACGTATAAAAAAAAACCAAGCCAAGACTCGGGGAAACATTTTCCATGTATAATTATATATGAATTGGTGATATATATNCTATATATAAGAAATTTTTTTCCAGGGAGACAAATTAGAATCAAGAAAGTGAGCAATAGTGTGAATCTAAGAGCTGTCATTCTTTATCAAATTATGTCCTTGATTCCAAAACCGATGGTCACGAAGGTGATCTAAAATCCTGATGCCAACGTTTATTTTTAACACGAGAACCCAATGACATGATAAAACAGCGTGCAACGTTAGAACTTATGATGTATGTATGTATATAGTTATTTCTGCCATATGGAGCAAAAACACCAACACTTGAATTAACAAAAATGGGCTGAATATACTTAAGAAATTTCGTAACAAGGAAGTTACGTAACTTCCTTGACATAACCGGCTACTTTTGTTAACTCAGGTGTTGGTATTTTTGCGCTACATGGTGTTATAACAAAAATGTTACATAATATTTATTTGATTTTACGTTAGAAAGCCTGAATTTTAATTCAGTAAATTCTAACGTAATTTCTAGCGGAAAGCGTTTCCGGCGTTACCAGATAGGTCGCAATTCCTAAAATTTAAACGTTATTATGACTTTTAGCAGCGAAATATGTCTTTTATCAGAAATTATATTACGCTTTATTATTGTTCGGAGCAAAAAACTATCCAGACCGTCTTTAAGATGTTTTATATCTCAATTTTAGACATTACGTTGCCTAAAGACTTACTACGTTTATCGTAGACCCAGCCTAAAAGTTCAACGTGCATTGAATTTTAGTACTCTCCTCGTTCGCGAGGATTTCTTTTATTCGAATAAAAAGCGCGCGCGCTACGCATAATTTGAATACCAGAAACACATAAATTAGACGGACAAGTAGAGGACCCGCGGAGACATCGTCGTCGGCGATTCAGCCGAAAACAAAAAGTCCAGAACGAATTTGCTGAACGTCATGCTCTTTTTTACTTTCAGCCTCCGCCCCCGACGCTTACCTGTCCATTGGCCCGGGCCACTCGGAGAGTGTAGCTCTCGTTCGTATCCAAGGTCAGTTTGATGTCGTCGACTTGAGGACCTTCGAGTGTGACGTGAATCAGCATGCCGACGCCGCCGTCTTTCAACGTTATCGGGCCGCTGAGCTTTTGTATGTTCTTCTTCAGCCGATCCACGTTCTTCTGGAAAAGATTTCTCACCACCGTCTGCTGCTCGACGCCGGTCAGCGCGATGTTCTCGGGATTCAGCTGGAGCACGGACTTGCCGAGGGACAAGTGCCCCGTCGGCTTCGGCCAGAGAGCTCCACCTTGACCGCATGACAACTGGCAGACGCTGAGAGCGGCGGGGTTGCTGGTCTGTTCCGTGATCGACTGCTTCTTGCACAGGCCGCCATCGCACTTGTAGTGCCAAGGGGAGCTGCGAGCCAAAGAAACGCCGAGCTCGTTCGAACAGTTTTGTCGATTGGAATCGATACAGCGCGAGGAACCCTGTTATCTTTACATGTATTTTGCCTCTAGTTTTAAAGTTTCGGAAAAAATTCCGCAGATTTTTTGATTTTCTTTTTTTCCTTCTTTATGGGAAAAGGTAGATATGGCAGGTTTACTATTAACCGAAGACATGCGAATTGTTCTAAACGAATTTTTGTACTCTTGAGACAAATACTGATCATAGAAAAAAAGTCTGGTTGTATTTATCAGAAAAAAACTTGATACGTTTTGACCGAATCCAATTGTTCCCTTTTTGATTAATGTAATGAGACTTTTTTCCGTGAATAAATCCTCAGAAAAATGGGGAAAAAAGCGTTTCTTTCCAAAAACTTGGAAACTATTTCATAATTTTGCCCGATCAAGTTGAAGTTTTTCATTATTCGTATAATCGCGATCACAATGATTCGTATGTCGTTGTCATTGAAGCTGCAATTTGGAAGCATCGTGTCAATAAAGAAGAAGAAGAAGTCGGTCAGCGACTTTGAGAAACCGCGGAAAACTGCGAGATAATCTTCCGAATGTGGCTGAACTTCGCGACCGGCCCCGACGCGGTCTATTTCTCAGTGGATCCACCAACCTGTTGCTTTCACCGTGCGAGGCGAATTACCTTTCGATCTAAAACTAACGTTCCCGCCTGCCGTTAGCGGAACGCCCGGCGATATCATTTGACAGTCTGTACAATATGCAACTCGCGTTCTCCGACACGTGCGACGAAACTGACGACTACGAACGGGGATTACAGTGAGGTAAGCCGAGCCGGTACTTGGACGGTAAAGATCGGGAACGGTAATTCGTCCGATAGGAAATGATTTTCGCTTTCACAGTCGCAACAAACCAGGTAGAAAATGACGATAACGTCAAAATGATATCGAGATAAGGAGAAAATGACTCGATCATTTCTTCATCATTCTGACATCATTTTTACGTCATCATCATTTCTGTTCTATATGGGTTGTTGCGACTGTGAAAGCAAAAATTAATATCAATGTGTAATTCGATTTTCCAACGCTTTTGTCTTCAGTTCGATCAAACCTGACCGATACAAATGTCGTATTCATAGGCTTTTTCTACGTGATTACGCGATTATACATAGAAAAATGCGATAGAAGTTTTGGACGTTAGTTATAATCGTGTCGTAAAAAAGAATGCAAGATAATCAGGTTTGATTTAACGCTTGCGGAGGAGATCCTAAGTTAAGGATTCTACGTTCTCTCGTCTATGTATGTACATGTGAGCGTGTGTGTATCAACAAAAATAAACCGAGTGAAATTAGAACGATAACAATCCCTGGCTTTCTCATGGTACTCACGTGTACTCCTCGGCCTGATTGGCGCCGTATTGGAGCGCGAGGACAACGATCAGTAGAGAGAGCATGCCGCTTAGAATGATCGCCAGTTCTGTCGAACGGCCGATTGTCGTTCGCCGAGTGATTTTATCCTTCGCCAGAAGATTGTATTCATGCAGTTTTGCGTGGGTAGGGGAAGAGCCGAGTGGGGACGGCGAAACCATCGAATGTCTCTAACGCGTTGTTGACGATTTACGCGAGCGGTTTCACGCGCCGTATCTCGCGGCTAATTCGATGACGGATTTGACGATGCAACGCGGAGACAGGTAGGATATAACGAATTTCTCCACCGAAAAAATATCAATCTTGAAAAATAATCTTTTGTAATAAAAAAAAATTCATATCTAATGAACGAAATCGGGATCTCCGCTATGTCAATTTCCTGTAAGCGAGAAATCATTAACACAACGTTATTACAACATTTTGCAACATGTGACGTTTTCAAAATATGTAGTTTTTAACGTTGTATACAACGTCATTGTTAACAATATGTTTGATCCGAAAATTAAAAATAATATTTCTATACTACGATTTTTGAATATTTATTAAATATTTTAGAAATGTTATCAAGTAACAGTTTAAAAACATTTGTAAAATTTCTATTAAAATTTATATTATGTCAGTGTTTATAAAATTCACATAAAATCAATGTTTCAAAAGATAATGACTTAATGTTTCTTGTTTACTGGGTTTCCCTCACAAATCTAATCAAACGATATTTTTATTCTCGAGACGCTAAGAATTCATAATTTAATATTCACGCAACACGAGAGATATGTATAGTTACAAGCGACTGTTTTGCTCAGCAAATTACCGCATTTTATTCACATAATACTTCAGAATGACTCGAAAACAAATATCAAATATCCATTCAGCTGTTCTTCATTAACAAAGTATTGCGTCCGGCGAACGTCATACCGGTTACTTCATTCGTCTACATCTTAAATCGCAATTACGCGACTTCTAATTATTCACGACAACATGCGAACCGCCTCTGGTAAGAGGCAAATCTAATAAACGCTTCGCACTTACAAACGCTTCGCTTCGATCTTACATCTGACACATTACTATAACACTCCGCTGCAGCAATCGTGTAGAACTGCTTACAAAACGATGTGTATCTTATCAAAGATCATTCGAATTACACATCGATAAGAACCTGACTTCGATTGATAATAATTACCGTATTTCGCATCATTTGTCAAGTGTAGGGCCGTGATGTATTATGAGGAAAAATCTCACATCCACATGTACTGAACCGCGCAAAGGAGTTCACTTTTTCGCACCTTAAATATTGCTCGGCCGACTTGGCTCACTTCATTTTTCGAAGCCACGTGTACTTCAGAGAGATTCGCTTGGCTACATCGGTATATTATGCATATGTTAGTACCAACATCAGTCAGTCAGATAGGATGTGGGATTTTTCCTCACGAACGTTAACTAATTGAGTAGATTTTCCTCGTATAATATACGATAAAGATCTACTTGATTAGTTGACGTTCGTAAAAATAGAAAATGCGGTTACGTAAAATAAAGCCAATTCGGATATTTTTCGAATTGAAAAACGATATATTTTTTTACAATAAACCAAGTTACTTAGTAACTTGAACAATAAAAAATCGGAGATCATAAAATAATTTTAATTATTCATCACCTCAACGATACCATTCGAACTGCTCATCATAATCACATCTTTTTACGGATCAATTAATACGCATGACTTCTGCAATACAATTTTGTATTCGCATTATATTCATGTCATACGGATGTTTCAACACAATACAGCATGACGAAATTTGCGCAAGTGTCGGTTCTTAACTTACGTACAGTTGTACGAAGAAGGAATAAGAATGCAAAAATTTCTGCAGCATTGTGTCTCGATGTACTGTGTTGTCCGGAAAGTCTGTACGAATCTTCGAGCAAAATTCAAATAAAAAAGTTTCTTAGTTTAAAATCATTTTAATCTGTAACATATGTGTGTCGAAATGTCACTCATCAAAACATACACATTTGACGCATCACAAGCCTAAAAATTTGCATTTAAATGTTATTTATCGAGAAATCTGCACAGACTTTCCAGAAAATCCAATGAATTTATTTAATTTATAGAAAATATAGCATATTTATACTTAAAAAGTATGTACAAGAACAAAACATTTAATACTATTTATGGGTAATAATACAAAAAATTATCAATGATCATACTAGAGTTATAAAATCACGACAGAAGTTGCAAATAAGTTGCATGTGGCAGCATATGAGAAAAGTCGTCTCTTTGGTCCTTACAATCTGCCTGATTTTATTCATCTCCGCGTATTGCTCTGTACTTGGCTAACTCGTTCGGGAAAACTCGATTCAACTCTACCAACATATTAGCTTTGAATTTTCTGTAAGCATCGATCTTGCCTTTTACTTGTTCGTTCTTTGTTAAAGCTTTCTCTATGCAGTCTTTGGTATATAATTGAGGATTCCTCCCTTGGTCAATGTAACTGAAATAAGTATACACCTCATAATAGTAATATAATTCAAATCATTGATATCAAAACTGATAAGCCACTGTTATACGTACTCGAATACTTCCAATGGTACATGAACATCCTGGACTTGCGATTTTAACTTATCAACCTCCTGCAAGCCACTGACTAACCCTTGACTAAAAAAAAAATAGCAATATTCAATGATTAAAAAGATTGGTAAAATTCTAAAACACAAGTCTAGAAAATGTTCCTCCGATTGAAACAAGATTATATTGATATAAATTTCATATATTGAAGATTTCTATAGCTATGGCAATCTCGTTAATTATATTCTGTTGGTGAATTTCGAAAGCATACTTCTAACAAGTACAGAATGGTTTCCAATTTATCGATGTTTAATTAATATAACAACAGAAATAAGATGCGTCGTTAATGCAAGATAATTAACCTGCAATTAGGTTAGAATGCGAAAATGGTGCCTTTGGAAAACGAATACGCAGTCGTACACATATTGTACGAATACTCACATCTTCTGATTAAGCACATTTTGCCCTTGAGGCTGGAAATCGCTTACTATGATACGTATTTGCCGCACATTCTCGATGAAGAGTTCCAACTGAGCTTCCAAGTTCTCCAAAGGGGATGCCATGATTGTTTCTATGTTTTCACTGAAGCGTCGATGATGCAGAGTGCAACAAGCACAAAAACTGGGCCCTTTTTTGTTAAAGGATCGACTATTTTCTGTATATATTCAAATTTACCATTAATCTCGATTTTATTTCTCGTAAATAAAGACAAAAGTCAATTGGCCTGTTCTTTTTAGCTGCATCGCTGAACTAGCGCATTAAGTTGAAGCGAGACAAGTATATATTTTCTCATTTCAACTTATTGCACCAGTTCAGCAGTTCAGCTAAAAAGAACAGGCTAAATGCTATATGCTATATGCTGTTGAAAAATAAAAGGATTGTCTAACCTGTCGTTGAATTGTATTACTTGAAAATATAATTTATCGTTGAATCCAATTCGTTGTACAGTTTAGGAACATAGCCCGTCCGTCAGAAAAATGTATCTTTGAATTGTATTACGACCTCGATTTCTCTGAACAAGGATAGTGGCGCTACGTAACGGAAATTTGGGAACTATTCATCGAAATACCAGCCGGTATATCAGGTTAACCCTAGCGCTATCTAGTGGCGGAAAACTTGAATTACGTCAAGTTCGAGTCTCGACTACGAAACGTTTTTATCGGCATTTCGAGGTCGTAATGTGACTCAACAATAAGTTAAACGTAATTTTACTTTCAAGTAACACAACTCGACGATAAATCGAACGACTCGTTATTTTGAAATATTACAATTCAACGAATCAGTCAGATGTCTCTTATTCTTTAATAATACATTTCTCCGGGAAGTTAAATGACTTTTTTTATTATCAAGTAGTCCAACTCAACGATGGGTGGAGCAGTGAGCTTTGCGAGATCCTTCTTAAAATAATCCGACAAACAAGTCGAATTCCGGCGACTCGTAAACATGAAGCATGTAATAATAGGTGAGCATATTCGTAGATTACTCTCCAAAGTAAACTCATAAAATACTGAAGAAAAAAAAAAGCACAATTATTATATTATAAATAAGATTGTATAATTTGTTTTCAGGTGGTGGATCAGGTTTCATAGGATCACAGCTGATAAAATGTCTTTCCCTCGAGGGCATCTCTTGCACGTGTATCTCTCGAATGCCTGGACCACATAGAATATCGTGGGTAAGTTGTGGTGTAAAATTTATCTGCTGAAAGATTTGTCCATGTAAAACAACCAAGGCAAGGTTGTATCTGAAACCTACAGAACGATTTAGAACGCAATGGTCTACCAGAGGACACATCAGCTGTCATCAATGTTGCTGGACAGAATGTGCTGGATCCTGCTCAGAGATGGACTCCAGGCTTCAAACAAAATGTCAGGAACAGCAGGGTAAAGACAACAAAGGCTTTAGCCGATGCAATACAGAATACTAAGGCTGAAATCTTCATGACCATATCTGGAGTTGCATACTATAAACCAAATGGCACTATGTATACAGAAGACAGCAAATGCGAGCCATACGATTTCTTATCAAGTATAAAACGTCAATGTTTATTCCTGTGATATGTATATTTGCACTTCTATACTGGCTGTCTATTATTTTCAGAACTCTCGCATGATTGGGAAGATGCTGCGCAATTACCAAAGGAGAGCAACATCAGACAAGTCACAATAAGATCCGGAGTTGTGTTAGGAAGAACTGGCGGCATGATCAAGCAAATATATCTGCCGTTTTTCCTTGGCCTAGGTGGGCCGATAGGTGCTGGCAACCAATACATGCCCTGGATACATATTGCAGATCTAGTTGGCCTGTTTAAATTTGCCCTTAAAAATAACAATGTGCAGGGTATAATAAACGGAGTTGCACCTCAGGTAAACACAAACAAAGTTATATTCTTCTCTAATCTATTATATCAATATGATAATATATTATTTTGTCGTTATTATTAATATCCATGTTACTTCCGAAAAACAGCTTGTAACAAATGTGGAATTTACCAAAGCATTTGCAACGGCGATGTGGAGACCTGCGGTCATACCTCTTCCAAATTTCTTTTTGAAAATATTGTTCAGCGAAGAACGAGCAAAAGTTAGTGACATATATTTAATAATAGTGTTAATCTGTTTGATAATAAGTGTAATAATTTCATTATTCCGCATTCTAGATAATGTTGGAGGGGCAGAAAGTTGAACCAAAGCGTGCGAAAGAGTTGGGATTTAAATATCAATATCCAGATATCGAGAGCGCCTGCAAGCAACTCGTCCAGTAAACTTCTTGTACTTTGTACAAAACTCTGCCCGATCGTGATAGAAATCGTGATAGAAATCGATAGACACGCGTAGCTCAATTAATCGTTCTTAAATTATTTATGATATATGCTATTTGAATTGTTAACATTTAAATGCGAAACTTTACTTCGGTTTTTTTCATACGTTGTAATTTAAGGACTGTTATTTTGTTTAATAAAATTATCGCAAGGCAAACCAAGTCGATAAAGCTTTATGTCGCGATACAAATTTATTTCTATTGGGCAATCAAATCCAATTACAGACGTTGATTACAATTACAGGTAATAATAAGGACGCCACAAGTAAATGATAATTAATCACACTCTTTGTTAAGCTCTGACAAGTTAGAAGACGCGGGAACGGCACAAACGTTCCTCATATACTCGACGCAGTCAAGATGCATCGAATTCTCTGTGTAAGGACCTCTTCTCAAGTTCACCGACTGATAGCTGTTAAGTTGCGTGCCGTGCAACAAAGTCGGGAAGCTCAGATTCTGCTGTATTCGGTAACAACATGTCTTGCCGCCGCTCAGGACATTGTCTGAAATGGTTAAATCATTGGACGTAGGCGGATATATTCTCGGAGACTTCTGCAGATACTCATCCTCAGAATCGGAAGTAAGTAACAGTCGATTGGAAGGATCAACCGAAGAATGATCGAGGTAGTTGAGTCTGCTCATGTTCAAGAAATGATTGATCTCCTTCCGGAGATTTTGTATTTCTTCCCTCGTCAGGCCTCTCATATTGAAAGTGGTGATCTTTCCATTCTTGTGAAGGATGAAGAGGCCCATTTCACTGGACACCCCAACATGCCGGATATCGGTGAGTTTCATTGAAACGAACTCATTGGAGTATCCGGAGCATAACTTGTCGCTCCAAATGGCTCTTTCGACGATTGCTTTGTTCTCCTGCTTGTACAGTATTAAATCCTCCCATTCTCCAAAACTATCCAGCACAAACATGATTTCACCCAGGAGCAGAATAATCAGGAAGTACAAATTACTCGTCAGGCGGCTAAATATCGCAATGAAAATCACCACGGACACTGAAAAAGAAGTGTTTTAGCTGTCTTGTGCACGACAAACGCTATAAATATATCTTTCGGACTTTTAACTAAACCTGAAAATATCAGAGAAACTATGTGTATATTAACTAAATAATTATTAATATTTATATGATAATTAACTCTTATCGCACAATAACATTAAATAGATAGCCTCTTACAGCTGAGCAATAACCATGCAATGCATCCTGGTCTTCGTGATATATGTAATTTATTTTTGTTTGAGATTTTAATTTCAGGCCTTGTGATTAAAATCATATTGTTACAAAAGGAATTTCAACAAGTATCTTAAAGTTGTGCGTGATGAATAAGACGAAAAAAATTTTGACACATCTGAATCACGGAGAATCAGCTGAGAAAATGCAATGCGCATTTGTTATTTAAAAATTATTTTATGACGAAGCGAATCTATCGATTGACGATCATGCGCAGTAGGTAATCTGACAGCTGTCAAATTACATATACAAGATGTAGGTATAAAGATAAGTAATAGAACAATATATTAGTTACATACACTTTAAAACCAAAAAATTAAGACTGAAAAATTAGAATTGTATTTATAAATTATATCGCATTTTCGTATGTTAAATATGCGTAAACCCGATGAATTCCAAAAACTCCAAGAACAGTTGGTTTACTGCATATGAAAGGCTCGCTGCAAAATTATTATTAAAGAAATTCAAGAGGAAGGGAAAGCGTAATAATAAAATACTTTTATTACATCAATCCGATGGTATGATTGCTTTTGCTTTAAACACTTCAAGCTTTAAAGTGCTTCTTGAACCATCTTGATAGCATCATTATTGCGAAAGTTACAGCCTGTTGAATTTCGCCTATGTTTATTTACAATTTACATACTATGTTTATTACAATAGAAAGTGCGTCTGACCAGCCCTTGAGTCATACTACTTGAGAGATACAAAGTACGTCCGGTTCCATCGTTTAATCATATCACGATCTGTTTCTCGTTAAGTATAATGGCGGTTCATAGCGAAGATTTTGGAACCAAATTACAGAAATAACGGGTTAAGGAATTACTAGACCCGTTATTTCTGTAATTTAAACATGATCTATTGAGAAACGTCACGTATTTTTGTTCCAACCCAATATTTTTGCGAAACCTCGCGAGATGGCGCAACAAACAGTGATCGTTACACTAATTACGAATTTCTTTTTTCCGAGACCGCCAGATGGCGCTATCGATATCGATTCGTCACACCAATGCAAGTTTCTTGTCTCAGAAATACGGGAGATGCCGTTACGTGCGCTTTGGCTATCTACTGCAAGAGTAACGGAAGAGATGTGATCTACGGCTCTTCGACGGTAGTAATTAACTTCATCAAGCGAAATAATTGCGACAAACACGTAAGCATATTATACAAATTCATTTTTTGGAAGATCTAATACGACATATAATATGATAATTGATTTACGTCTATTATAAAATTCAAATGAGAAATCGTCGCGTTAATGGCGCCTGTTCACGACAATTTACACACAAATTTTAGCAAGAGATTTATGAAAATCAAAAGTTCCATGAAAAGATATGTGAGAATAGTTGTATGAACAAAATTGACCCTCGAGCAGGCGCACTTATTCGGTATCTCGCTCTGACACTAAAATTCGCGATTCAAACGATCTGCTACAAATTAACGTTACGTTATGACGAACGACGCGATAATGGCGAACGCGCGACGGTTATTCAAGAAAGCTGCGTAGACATTTGGCGAAAATATAATAGCGCAACGCATTCGTGCTCCTGCTCGAAGCGCAAATATTCGAGGATTAATTCTCGTTCTTGCGAAATTCGAAGGCGACTCGCGGGTTAATAGCAGAGATTTACATTGCGAATCCCCGAGCGAGCGCAAAAATGTGATGACTGCGAATCGTCGAAGGCCGTGAGACCGCGCCGGGCAGAAATTACGCTTCGCGAAACCGTTATCGTGACTCGCAAGAAAAATGACCACTGATAAGAACACACGTGTTCAAAAGACGAAACGATCGCGGCCCCGTAATCGTCAACACGTTTCCACACACACACACACGCGCGCGAGCGCAAGCATGCGCGCTCCGTATGTAGCGGTACGGTAGTACTTAACGCATTCTTTTAGCGAGCTGAATTTCCAATAATACCGTTTGAGATTCTCGTTCTACTGAGTATCACAAGAACGATCTGTTTGATTTGGCCCTTTTATTGTCTCGATACGTTGCTATCGTACGTGTCATCACATAGCGAGGTCTCACAATTACAAGACACGGAAAGAACAATCCTATTGGTGTAATTGAATTTTCCGTTAACCGGAGACCAAAACTCGGTTGTAAGAAAGATTCCTCTGGGAGATTTCTACTCGGTCAATTGGTTTCGGTTGTCTCAACCGAGTTTTAACGCGGCTAAATATTCATACGAAAGTTTTCCGTCGCGGTAACAGAGATATCACTTTTTGTCGCCGAATTTTCATCTGGTCCCTATTCTGTTGCAGGAACTGAGATTTTTTTCCGCATAGTAGTGATAGGCAGAAACGTTGTGACATTTTTTTAATAAGTCTCGCAACGCATCCCGTGTCCGTGTTAAAAAGTATTTCATATATAATCTTGTATAAATATACATAACTATGCATAATTATACTAAATTATGAAATTTGTCCATATATAATTATTTAATACTAATCACACAATTAATTAGATACGATTAGATATAATTATCTGATTAGTATTGTGCATTTGGGATGCTGTAAAAAACTTTTAGCCATTTCCTCTGCGTTGCGACTTAGAAACAAATTTGCTGAGATCTTCTTGCATGCATAGAGAAAAAAAATTACATAATAATAATCAGATTAGAATTAGGTTTAATCACGTCTAATCCTACATATTTATGTATGATCAGCATTACATAATTATGTATGGGACAAATTTCATACATAAATTAGTATAATTATGCAGAGTTATATATATTTATACACGATTGTGTATAAAATATTTCCTAACGAGGAGATCAATAGGGGAATTTGCTTCTTAGTTATTCTCAGGAGCTACATTCTCCTGTTGGATACGAGATGCGTTGCGAAACTCATCGAAAGAAAGTGTAACAACCATTCTGTCCGCCACTTTACAATTTTGAAACCTCGGTAGTCTCTCGAAAGAGGTTCACGAGAACCGAAGAAACAGACAGTTGATCCTTTTTCCTTGCAGGCCGCAGATATGTATTTCCGTTTCACTTTCTCCCTCGCGAGGAAGGGAAGGGAAAAAAAAAAAGAGAACTCGGGCTTTCACAAAACCGCGTATCTTATCGCGAAGTTAGGTGCGCACGAACCATGACTCGTCGTAAAGAAGCCGCTCCTCGCGGCACGGTTTCGTCGGTCGCCGCGAGGACATTTAAAACGCAAAGTGTCTCGAAGAGAAGTGCCGCATCACGGTCCGACATCTTTGTGCCATTTGCACCGGCGCTTTTTACATGTGGCCCGTCGGCACACGTGTCCAGCAGCGACGGTGATCAAGCGCGTATCGAACGCGAACCGCCTTCGGATATCACGAAATGTTTACCTCGACGGCGACGGTGCGTTCGCACGCACGTATGATACACCAGGTGTGTTTATCGGCCTCGTGTCCGCGATTAAAATATCACGGAGTCCGCGGGTATACGCGCGCATATCGCATCGTATCGGTCGGTCGGTCCGATGTTTTAATCGGTCGCACGAATCTCGCCAGAGAGAGAGAGAGAGAGAGAGAGCACGCCCGTTATCTGTTAAGCACGCGACAATTCCGACCGCGGTGTAATAAATTAAACCCCGTTCTCGAACGAAACCGCATATCATCGCCTACGTTTTTCCGTTTCGCCTTGTAAGTCCCGACTAGCTCGCCGCTCACGTCACGGACGATTAATCCCCGCCGCTTTTTACGTCCCACGGTATAATTTTCACGCGTACCGCCGCGAGAAAAAGGATTCCACTTCCCAGCGCTCGCGAGATATCTCCGCCGAGCCCGCCAAGTGTGTTCCCGCGTTAACTCCTTATCGCGATTGCGAATAACTGTATCTTGGAAATTCAATTTTCAGCGATCTCTCTCCGCCGGCGAGCGAGATCGCATCGTGGGGCCGCGTTGACGGTGATTACCTCGGACAGCGCGACTTTCGGATCGTGTTATTGCCGACAAATCGTCGCGATTCATCGGAAACGAAGGATAAAGTCGTAAGCGCGGCGGCGGCGCTACCGCGAGCGAGCTTGTAAATTCGCCGTTTAACGAACGCGATAAAGTGGAAGGGCTCGACGATTTGCATAACGACCTCGCGTTAAAATCACGGTCGTCGTGCCGGCGATTCTTATAAATATCTCCGGCGCGCCGAAAGGTCAAACGTGCACGCGGACTCGGCGGCGCTCTCAGACAATAGGGACAGAAAGTGAAGGTATTCGCTCGGGATCATTATGCGCCACCGGGATAAACCAAACCGGGGCTTACATCATAATTGCGCGGCTTATTACGGACCGTCCTATATCGCTCATTTCGCGATTACTTTCCCGATCCATATTCATGAGCGTCCTTCTACGCTACGAAGGTGGCCGCTTTATTACTCCATCCACGGAGAGCCCGAGAGAGCCTTCTCCGATTACCTCGCGAGATTCGCGCCGCTTAGAAAAAGATACCTTTCGCGTTACGACGTAGCCGTGCGAGCCGGGATACGTCGGCGAATGGCGAATAAGGGAGCGAAACGCAGCCCAGATACACACCGAAAAATACATCCAAGTAAATATAATACTTGTCTCAGATTTCGTAAGTTTATGTATCCGCGAGTATATCATAAGCTCGTCATAAGCATGAAATTTATTCCAAATATATTCTCAATCCTAGTAAGTTTAGTATATACTTCAATCAAGAATATTAAATTAAGTTTTCCGCGATATCGCTTAATGAAATACGCGAGAATTTGTATTCTCTGCCTTTCCAAATTGCTTTCTTCGTTAGTTTTGTATTTAGGGATTCGCAGAGGTAGGAGGAATCTTTCGTCTAGGCGCGAGAAAGTATTCGAAGCTGCACAGAGAACATTGGTTGCTTTCGTGCAACATCGAAACACCGTCGGTAGTTCGAATTTCAACGAGCGCTCCGGTCGAATAGGCAGACAGACAGACGTGGCCGAATATCGTTAGAGAAATATAGCGGAAGGTGATCGCGTCGATTTTTTAGCACGGATACTCGAGCCGGGATACGAATATCTATTTTTAATCCCATTGATATGCAAGCCCTGCGGCAAAGCGGCGTACGCGCGTGATAAGCATTATCGCGTCGGTCTACCTGCGCAACGCTCGCTTAAAGTGAGTGAATTTAATTATAACGATCAAGAGTGCGGCGTTTAACGCCCATTCGTCTAATCCGTGTCTCGTATGTTCAGGTGAATTTATTCTCCCAGTTTCAAATCCGTTCCTTGCAACCGCGCTTCTACTCGCTTCTACTCTCTAAGTTGAATCAGTGAAACGGTATTCTACCGATAATCAGTGAGTAGTTATTAATTTTTTATGAAAACTCGTTCACTTGGCTTATTATTTTTATGTTTAACGATTTTGTTAAATGTCGATGACAGCGAAAGACCACGGATAATAACGAAACGTACAATTATGCGCTCATCGCTCCGCCTTCAAACGCGAGAGAGGGAAGAGAGAGAGAGAGAGAGAGAGAGAGAGAGAGAAAGAGAATTATGTATGCGCGAGCAGCGCGTATTTTTGACGTTCGCGCGAACTCACTCTTCAACGGCCAGGCAAGAAGAATTCTCGTAATAGCTTAATATTCGAAACTTAATTAAGTCGGCACGGAGCGCGCAAAAGTCTTCCTTGTGCGCCATTCATTTCAACGGCGTGCACTCTGGACTCTCGTCCGCCTATCTATGTTAACGCGCGCATTTTGTAAGACGGCAGGATTGCAGCGTAGTGAAAAGAAGGAAGAAAGAGAGAAAAGTAACACAGCCGGTTAAGAGAGCCGGCCGTCTAATTACACGGATCTGCCATGTGTGTCGGGTAATTAATAAACATCACTACTAATTGCAACGCGCCCGCTCGCCTAGGGACGAGCATCGGCATGAACTTTCTACACGCACGAACGCGAATGTATTTCAAAATGGCAGTGCCTCTCAATGCAAAATTAACAACGACGGTATGAAAGCCGCCGCACGGACAGGCCTCTTATTAAAGCCCCCTCTCGATCCTCCTTTGTGAAATTAATTAGTTCTGCGTAGCGGCCGCCGTTTCGGTATATTCGCGTCGATTCGTTTTCGACGGGCGTAATAATAACATCGTTTCGCGCTCTTCGTCGTCGCTGAGACAATGCGACACTCGAAGATCCCTCTTAGGGCGGAGGTGTAGTGCATCACGCACCGAAAAATTCGGAAGAGACGACGGAACGAGCGTTTCGCGCCGGGGTGCGAAAAAAGGACACAATGAGAGGAGAACGGGAGACGCGCGAGATAAAAAGAAAGCGTGGAGAAGAAGGCGTGCTCCGAAAGTGGAACGTGCCTCGCGCCGGATAAGCAGCGGTGGACCTTCGGATCGAGGATTCTCGAGCGAGGCACAGTCACGCGAAGATCCGAATCTCTTCGCTCGAGTGTCGAGAGAGAGAGAGAGAAAGAGAGAGAAAGAAAGATAGGCCGAAAAATCTGGAAAAGCCGCGGGCGATCTCGAGTGGCCCGAGTGCTCGCGCACTGATAACGGCCGTCTGGCAAAGCACAGCCAGATACAGGGGGACGCGTGAACCGACAACGATGATAGCACCCCGATCATCCGCTCTCGAGCGTCGGGGCTCGCAGGAATTTCTCGTATCGAGCCAATGCTCGAAACGATCCTTCGTAGCGCGCGCGAGTCGACGTGCCTCGAGCCCATCGCTGGAGATAAGCCGGCGAGCACGAAGAATGCACCGGCTCTCTCGGCGCGGCGTGGGGCGTGATTTGTATCTTCGTCGTCGAAAGAGCGGAGTCTGCGCTCGGTAGGTGCGCCCCTGACTGTCGGCTCTCTCGGCGAGCGAGTGCAGGTGCGCGCCCGCCAGTCTGTCGCCAGGTCCCCTCTCGATGCCCACGGCTTGACCCCCCTCGCGGCCCCCCCGTTGCAGCCACCGCCGCCTCCGCCGCCGCCGCCACGAGATCGCACACGCACTTTGGACCCCTCCACTACCCCCCGTCGGCTGGTCAGCCGGCCGGCCGTCCGGCCATAGCGAATAAGGTGGCAAGGGGAAGAAAGGCACGGTATTGCCGGCACCTACCTTCTCGTTTTCGTGCTCCTTGCTCGCCTCCTTCTCCCTCTCTCGCCCTCTGCCTCGTCTTCCGCTTGCGTCTTGTTCCGTCGCGCCTCCTTTCCCCTCCCCGAATCTTCGTGTACGTGCGTGTGCGTCTACCTGTATCTCCAGACCGGCTTCTTGTTCTCCTCTCTACACTGCATCCTCTTCATCCTCCCGGGATTCCTCTCGGTCCCTCTCTCATTTTCGTTCTTTTATTATTCGCTATCGGAGCCTCCGCCTTCCGATTGCCTCTATTCTTCTTCTTCTTCTTCCTCTGCTTTTTGCCCGCTGTCAAACGCGATGTATGCGTGCGAGTTTCCGTCCGAAAGCGCGTGCATGTCTCTGTCGGGGTTTTCGCGAATCTACGCTCTTTTTTATCTCTCTGTCGGCGATAGCACGTTGAACTAATCGTTGTCTCCGTAAAATCGCTTTACATCCAAAATCACAAGCGAGACTCGCGAGCAGAAACAACTCGCAGCCAGGTAGCAACCAACAGATGTTGCAACCTGGTCCTCGAGGAGATCGTGTAATCCGGTCAGCTGGACGCGTCGCTCGCTCCGGCGTGACGACGATAGATCGAAGAGGAATTTCTAAAGAAGAGAGACACCCGAGATCGTCGTTTGGGTGGTCGTGTGGGAGGGACGACGGAGGGACACGTACGGACTCGCGTCACGGCGACCTGTGCGTGAGGCGAAGAAAAGGAACGCGAAGAAATGCCGGGCGTCACCGTGCTTGGAAACACTCCGAATGCGTCGGGTCGCTCCCGCAAACACTGGCAGGCACGGGTGCACCTCGAGGTGCGCCTTCGCCTCGTGAAATACTTACCTTGTCCTCTTCGCGGTGCTCGTTATACGTCTCGCCCGAAATCGAAGAGAGCGCAAACTTTCCAATTCACCGCTTCCTCTTTCTTCCTCGCTTATTATTGTAATGCTGCCATTGTCGCTCGACACATCGGCGAACGGACGTCGCCCTGCTCGGAAATCTGTCTCGAGGCGAAAAGAAAGCAAGAGACAACGGCGAAAGGAAAACAAAAGAAAGCGGAACAACAATCGAGCGCGAGGTGTGACTTATTATTTCGGTCCTCTCCCACGAGACTCTTCAGTAATGAGAAGCAGGTGTCGACCCACGCTTTTCGGTCACGTGTGAAGAAAGTGACGAGGACAGTGGGGTTCACCGAAGGTAGAAGGCAAGTCGAGAGAGTTGTCGAAAAAATCTTTGAAAACGAGTATCGTCTCTGAAATCCGGCGAATTGTCTCAATGGAAGTGGCTCAATGCCACTTGTACAGCCGGTCGCTCATTTCGGTCGGTGAAACGGCGTATCCTTCAACGAGGTCAAGCAGCGAAGAAAGAAAAGACTCGTTGCCTCGCCTGCGATACCGGAAACAGCACGGATATGCCGAGCGTTCGCATTGTTCGAGGATGCAAAAATCTCGAGCGAGCCGTGCACGAAATGCGACGGCTGCTTCTTTGTCGCGTAAAATCGAACGAGAGGTCGACCGTAACGTTCGTTCCTCGTGAAAAATGCTAATCTAGCGAGAACGAACTTTATCCTTCGAATGCCATGCGAAAACATAGGAATCCACCTCTACGTATCTCTCGCATGCAGGAGCTAGATTTCTCTCTTTCTTTCTCTCGTATATATACACGATATATTTGGTCGCCTTGATTCCCGGCTGACATGTAGCTGGAATTTATTGCGCCGTTGCATGCGCAGCGATTGCATCACTAATTCGACCCGCCTTTTTTCTACTTCGCGGTCAAGAGTGAGCACGCGCGATCGTCCTATGCGATTCTTCTTCATCATCTTCCGTTTCTTCTTCTGTATGTAGCCTCGCTATTCCATTTTCTCAACGGCAAGAAGCTACCTACTTTTGGGGGTCGAGGCCGAGCGAGAGAAAATCAGCGCGTTTGCCCAGGTGCGATGCGCAAAATGATGACAGCTGAAGCCACGGGGTACCCACGGGTTACCCGTTGCCCATTTGTAATTAATGTAACGCTTTAAGAGACACCTGTGCGACCATCTCTGCCGCACAGGTGGCTGTTAGCTGTTACGGCGATAAACCTGGGCTCGTACAGGTGTGCGCCGCAGGTACGCCAGCACTCTCTGAATCGGGAACTCGCACCGACACGCATGAAATCCCGTCCCGAGGACGGACTGCTTGACGATGCCGCGCTTATCACTCAGCGACGGGACTTATCGTTATCGTCGTTTAACGCTTCTTATCGGAAACGGCGCTTCAATGACTTCCACTTGAATATTATTATTGCTCGTTGCGATGTGATTAAATGATTCCTTCAAGAATTCTTTCGGTTCTGAGAGTGTTTTCGTTGCGCAATGATGTTTCGTTTATTTGATTTCAGGCGAAGTGCGATACTTCTTCCTCCGCATTTCTCTCGTCTTTCGAAGGAAGACCTTTTCGGAAAAAGGACCCAAGGACGCGCGTCGCCCAAGGCGTGCTCTCCGATCTCGGCGGAAATTCGAGCTCTCCTCCGCTACTCGGCTATCCGACAACAAAACAACAACGAGTTGGAGCCGCGTACGCGCTGGAACGAGGTAAGAACGGAATACGAGGCTCCCACGAGTCCCACGACGCTCATTGTAAGCCGTGAAGGAAAGACCGCGGGTTCTCTCGGAGACTCTCTTGATTCTCGTGTCAGTAACGGCTACGAAATCAGTTCGAGCGTGAACGATACCGTGCGCGCGATCCGAATTCACTCGCGTGCAGCCCGGAGAGAATCTCAGGATGAAACGCGCGTTTCCCCGCGTGGGATCGAGCAAATCAAATAACGAATAAATCCTCTCGGGGAGAAGTGATTCAACGAATACGAGCCGATGCGCCGAGACCGACGCGCGAATGCAAGTATTTTAAAAAAGATTCTCCGGGACGTTTCGACCTAACCGACTCGAAAGTCCCTCACGGACGATAAGTCTTTCGCTTTCACGACTGATAAGGCGCGTGCATTTCCGATCGTCGTTTCTTTCTCTCTTTCTCTCTTGATTGATTTTCTTCGAAGAATTCATATCGACACAAATCCTATGCAGAAAATGTTCTCGATTGCGGATCTAGTTAGTGCGAATAGAAAATCCACTTTAAACAAGGGCCTTACCGGAGCTGACAGCTGTGGATAATTAATACTCTCGACAGGAGCCTCGTGCCGCTTCGATAACGATATACAATACGAAAGCGGGGCGAGAGAGGCGAGCCTCGCGCAAGATTCGACCATGTGCGCACTTACGCATACGGGCCACTCCGCACACATCATATGGCCGACTTATGAATGGTATCTGCACACGTTCCCACGTCACTGAATGAGCCCCGGGTCCCTCGCGTCCGGCGGCATCGTAGCCGCCTGTATTCCTCGTGTAAATCGTCCAATTCTCATCTCACATTTCCCCCTCCTTCTCTGTATCCTTTTGGTTCGTTCTCAATAGTATACTATTGAGGAGTAGGTTTCCGCGATAGCAGATCTTCCAAGCCACTGCCGAGTGTATTCGAGAGGAAACTGTGAGAAAAGAAACGGCGCTTCCGAGAGTTATTCGTTCCAAAGTCTACGAGAATAGTTGAAAGTTGAATTTTCAAGAATCGTTGGTAATTACTTTAGTCGAGTTAAACGTTAAATTCGTTGGAGCTTTACTTGGATATTTTGAATTGAATTAAAAGCACCGATCGAGCTGTGATTGAATTTTTCGAGTTTGACGAATTGCACGCTCCAACGAGCTTATTTTCAGCTCTGACGAATTTAATTTTTCACTCCCTCGGCTTCCACGAACGCGAGTCTTTGGGTGAGAAGTTGGTCGAACCGTGACGCAATTGGGGCGCACCTCGTATGCATCGACCTCGACGAGGAACAGGTGTCAGCTCGTAGCCGTTGCTACGGTGGCCGGACTTAGATTGCGGCACTGACAGAGACGCGCCGGACGAACAACGACGGACACCTGCACACCTCCTCCGATTGTACATAAGATCGGCTGCCCAGGCTAGGTCTATCGCCCTTCACACCCGCACCGCGTGATCTCCCACTCTCTCCTCTCTTCAGCATCGCCGTAGTCGGTCCTCCCACGGTGCGAAGGAACGGAACCCGAGGATCATGTGCGCGTTCATGCGCACGATAAGGAGAGAATCGGAAACCAAAAGAAAACCCGTAAGAAGTCGGGAGAATAGAGAGAGAGAGAAAGAGACACATCGTTGGCTAAAATGGAACGGGTAATATAATGGAATGAACGCGCGAAGAACGAAGGAGAGGAGGAGAGGAGAAGGAGCGACAGGGACACATCGCCGCAGGTCGCCACGCACTTCGCGCCACGAAACACGCGGTCACTCTCGTATTTCTGAGAGAAAAAGAATGAGAAGAAAAAAAGAGGAAAAAAAGATCGAAGGAGAAGAAGAAGAAGAGGACGAAGAAGAAGACCGGTGTCGAAGAAAGACGACTCGCTCGGCGAGACCGAGACAGACGGAGAACGCTGCCTGGCGAGGGGACGAGGTCGAGCGAGCGAGCGAGCGAGCGAAAGAGAGAAGGAGCGAGGCGAGCAAGTGGTTGCGGACGCGACGAGGACGGACAAGCAAGGAGCGGCGGGACGCGCAACGAATCGGAGAAGGACGACGAGATTGGGTTATGTCGGAGGCGCCGTGATTCAACCGAACGCGCAGGTGTGCCGCAGACTGGCCGGCGCCTCTCAGGAATGCAGGCCTCCGCTCCCGCGCCCCTCCCGCCAGTCGGTCGGGCTGGGTCCCTCTCCGCTCCCTCCTCCTCCCCCC